TTCCTTTAAAAAAAAAAAAAAAATACTTAGCTCCCTAGTACTCTTTGAGACATTTCCTTACAGAGTTGTAGGCAAGACCTCTCAAATCTATCCATTTGGTTCTCAATTCTCTCTTAGACAAACAAATAAAATCTTTAAAAAAATTTTAAAAAATTAAAAAGGTGTTGAACTTTATAATGAGGGAATCAGACTGATACTATTTGAACCTCCCAATCCATCTTAGCACCATTAAAACAGAGACAACCAGACATTGATGTACCTCTTCATGTGATGTGATAGTGAATACACAGCGCCTTCTATAAAGTATCTGTGATTCCTCCAAATTGAGCTCAAATCTAATTAAGCCTTAGTTCTAACCAATAATTTACAGGAAATACAAGGAATAGAAAAATTAGTTAAAAAAAAAATCAGTAGGAAGGAAGTAGTCTGTTTCCACAGAGCAAATAACCAAATTTCCCCAACAGAGTAAATAAATTTAAAAACATGGGTGTAGGGGGGGAAGGTGGACTATAATGACTAAAGGAGTTTTAAGAGACATAAATAAGTACCTCATGATTTTGATTTTTAAAAAGCTGTTTTAAGACAGCAAGATTTGAATAAGGACTAAAAATGTGATGATATTGAGGAATTAATTTTATCAGGTGTGATAATGGTATGGTGGATATATTTAAAGAAAAAAGTTTTACCATGAAATGATGTATCTGGAATTTGCTTTAATTAATTAATTTATTTATAAAGGTTTTATTTATTCATTTGTCAGAGAGAGAGAGCGAGAGAGAGAGAGAGCACACAAGCAGGGGGAGAGGCAGGCAGAGGGAGAAGCAGGCTCTGCACTGAGCAGGGACCCCAATGAGGGACTCGATCCCAAGACCCTGGGATCATGACCTGAGCCGAAGGCAGACACTTAACCAACTGAGCCACCCAGGAGTCCCTCATTCTTTTTTTTTAAAATGCTTAGCTCCCTGGTACTCTTAGACTGAGACATTTCCTTACAGAGTTGTAGGCAAGACTTCTCAAATCTATCCATTTGGTTCTCAGTTCTCTCTCTGACAAACAATAAAATCTTAAAAAATTTTTTTAAAAATTAAACAGGTGTTGAACTTTATAATGGAATCATGACCCGGGCCAAAGACAGATGATTAACCAAGTGAGCCACCCAGGTGTCCCCAGAAAGTTTTTTTTTTAAATATATTGCAAGAAATTACTTTTTTTGCGTCATATTAAATGGCTAATGAAAACACTTTCAAAAGATCAAAAACTTTATCACAACTTTACAATAAATAACATCTCAGAGATAGTATTTTTTTTCAGAGATGGTATTTTGAAGGACAATAATTATTTGAATGGACAAGTTCTATTTTTTTCTCCTCATTTTGAAATCATTTTGAGCTCATTTAAAAAATTATAAAAATAGTTCAAAGAATTCTCTTCATTCAGCTTCCCCAAGTGTTAATGTCTTATAAAACCTCAGTACAATTGTCAAAACTGGGAAATTGACAAAGTCTTGACTAATCTGCTGACTTTATTCAGTTTCATCAATTGTTCCACTAATATTCCCTTTCTGGGCTAGGATATAATCCAGGATTACACACTGCATTTAATTGTCCTCTCCCTTTCATCTGAATAGTTCCTCAGCCTTTGTCTTTCATCTTCAGTCATTGTCTTTTATGACCTTGAAACTTTTGAAGAGTACTGGCCAGCATTTTGTAGACCTGCTTCAGTTTGGGTTTGTCTGATGTTTCTCCTGATTAAATTCAGGTTGCATGTTTTGGCAAGAGTATCACAGAAGTGATGGTTTATTCTTCTCAATGCATGATATCTGAAGGTACGTAATCTCCATGTTTTATTACTGGCGATATTAACCTCAATTGCTATTTAGCAAGTGGTATTTGCTGGATTTCTCCAGTGTAAAATTGCTTTCTTTGTCTTTGTAATAAAAGAGTATTTTGTGAGGTGATTCTTTGAGACTTCGTAAATATCCTGCTTCTCATAATACTTTCTTGCTTGCAACAATTATTACCACAGTATTTGTCAAGTAGTGGTTTTCTATTTCCATCATTCCTTTCACATTTATTAATTGGGTTTCTACTTTAAGGGAAAGCTCTCTCTTCTCTCATGCTGTCCATTCATTCAATTTACTTATTCAGTCATTTATTTCTATCAGTATGGACTCATGGATATTTGTTTTATTCTATGGGTTAGAATCTATTGTTATTATTATTTTGTTGCTCAGATTGTCTCAGATTTGGCTGTAAAGAGTCTCTAAGTGATCTATGAGTCAATTTGAATCTGTTTTTTTTTTAAGATTTTATTTATTTATTTGACAGAGAGAAACATAGCTAGAGAGGGAACCCAAGCAGAGGGAGTGGGAGAGGAAGAAGGAGGCTTCCCGCTGAGCAGGGAGCCCAATGCGGGGCTTGCTCCCAGGACCCTGGTCATGACCTGAGCCGAAGGCAGATGCTTAACGACTGAGCCACCCAGGCACCCCCAATTTTTTTTTTAATATTTTATTTTTAAGTAATCTCTATACCCAATGTGAGGCTTGAACTTACAACCCTAAGATCAAGGGTCAAATGCTCTACCGACTGAACCAGTCAAGTGCCTCTGAATCTTTTTATATGTTTAAGCATATATATTTATGTCTTGCTTGTGTATTGTCTGTTCATGTCTTTTTTCCATTTTTCTATTGAATTTGTCCCCAATTTTTAACAGTTCTTTATGTACAAGGAATATTAGAATTTTATTTGTGATGTATGTTGCAAATATTTTTTCCTGATTTCTCAATTGTCAATTGTCTTTTGAGTTTGTTTATGGTATTTTTGCATACTTTTTTTTTAAATTTTATTTATTTAATTGACAGAGAGAGAGAGAGACAGAGAGAGAGGGAACACAAGCAGGGGGAGCGGGAGAGGGAGAAGCAGGCTTCCCGCCGAGCAGGGAGCCCGATGCGGGGCTCGATCCCAGGGCCCCGGGATCATGACCCGAGCCGAAGGCAGTCGCTCAACCAACTGAGCCACCCAGGCGCCCCATTTTTGCATACTTTTTAAAATGTAATCAAATTTATTATTTTATTGCCTTGGATTTTGAGTCATAGGTAGAAAACCTTTCTCTATAGTGAGGTTAAAAAGGAGTTCACTCATGTTTTCTTCCAATCATTGTATAGTTTTATATTTTACATTTAGATTCTTGATCCATTTGGAGTTTATCCTTATCATGTTGTGCAGTATGGATCTAATTTTACCTTTTACTAAATGGCTAGCCATTTGTCTCAGTACCATTTATTTAAAAAGCCCGTCTTTGCCCCAGTAAGGTAAGATGCTAACTTTATCATATACCAAATTTCCTTATGCACTTGAATCTGTTTCTGGGTTTTTTTTATTGTATTCCTTTGGTCTGCTTGTTCATGCACCAGTACTATACTGTCTTTTTTTTTTTAAGATTTATTTAGAGAGAGAGAGAGCACAAATGGGAGGGGCAGAAGGAGAGGAAGAGAAAGAGAATCTGGGTGTGGAGCCCCTTGCGGAGCGGAGGGGGGCTAGATCTCACCACTCTGAGATCACCACCTGAGCCTAAATCAACCTGTTAAGAGTTAACCAACTCTGCCACCCAGGCACCCCTATGCTGTCTTAATTATAAAGGCTTTTAAGTTTTAATCTGATAGGGCAAATTCCCTTTCTGTCTATTGTGTTTTTTTAAAAAGATTTTT